GGGTGACCCGCAGCGAGGCCACGGAGCTGGACATCAACGGGAGGGTGAGTGGCTGGGAGGGGCACCCCGCAGAGAAGAAAGAGGATTTTCCAGGAATAGGCAAATCCTGGTGGTTGCTAAAGCTGGTGGGGCAGGAGGGAGAGGCCTGGGTGTAATGGATCTCCTGGGGTCCACCCAACCCTTGGAGCAGAACCTTCCATCCTGAGTCTGCCTGGTTTGGGGTGGGGGGAGGATTGGGGGGGCCATGGAAGAACACGGTGGGAGGATGGTGCTGAGTGCTGTCCCCTCTCCAGAATGGGCTGATGCTCGCCTGCGCCAAGGGCTTCGTGGACATCGTGCCACTGCTGAGGAAGTGCCCCTACATCAACGTCAACCAGCAGGACAATGACGGCAACACGGCCCTCATGATGGCAGCCCAGGCAGGTCAGCCCTCGGGAAGGGGCTTGTGCTTCCCCCCAAAATCCCTGGAACGAGCCACCCTGGAAAGCCGTGGTCCCAAGGGATGTGTGACATCAGCTGTATTTATGGTTCACCTCAGCAGTGCTCTAAAGCTGATGCAAAAATGGAAATTCCTCCAGCGATTTGGCCCGAACGTGTCTTGTTGAGTGGCAGAGCTGGGCTGGAGCCGCCCCATGAGCTCAGGAAAGTCCTGGGACTCACCCCATGAGCTCCAGGAAAGTCCTGGGAGCCCCCCCATGTGCTCCAGGAAAGCCCCAGAAGCTGCAGGGATTTACCTCCCCAAAGTCTCCAAGGTCTATATAGGAACCAAACCTCCAGATGGTTTTCCTTGTTAGTCTGGGTCCCTCCCCGTGAATTAACATAAGGGGAAGGAGGAGGGTCCCAAGGTGGGGCTCACCCCATTGTATCCTTGTTGGAATTGATGATTTTATTAGGTTTTTTCATTTTTTGGACTCTTTCCTGCATTCTCTGCTGAGGCAGCTGGTGTGCCAGCACTGTTCCCTCCACGGCCAAACCTAAAACAAGATAAACCCAAACCCTTTCAGTCCTGAACCCTCCGAGCTTCTGCGTCTTCATCCTCACGAGATGCAGCTGCTAAACCCTTTCTCGGACAGGCACCGGCCGTTGTTCCCCGTTAACTGTCGGAACTCTAACGCAGCTTCTCTCTGGCTGTTAAGGACACATCACCATCGTCAACTACCTCCTCAACTACTACCCCGCGCTCGAGGTGGACCAGCGGGACCCGCGGGGGCTGACGGCGCTGATGAAGGCAGCGGTGCAGGGGCGGGAGGACTGTGTCACCGCCCTGCTCCTGGCGGGTGAGCGCGTCCCCGGGCCTTTGGGGAAGGGCTGGCACTGCTGCTCGGGGTGGGCTGGGGTGGTGATCCTCCTCCCGGGATCCCTCTGCCTCCAGGGGCTGACCTGAAAGCGGTGGACGCCGTGAAGGGGAAGACAGCCAGGGAATGGGCAAATTTCACCGGCCGCTTCGAGACCACCGTGAGGATCCGGACCCTCCTGCGGCGCCCGCGGGCGGAGCAGTTCGGATCCCAGTACCGGCCCGAGTGGCCGGCCCTGGCTGAGCTGGTGGCCAAGGCCCTGAGCCCCAAATCCAGGAGCAGGAGGCTGCTGGAGAAGATCTGCTCCATGTTCACCTGCAGCATCCCCTGCAACCCCGAGGAGGACGGTGTGATGGACCACATGGTGAGGATGACCACGTCCCTGGCCAGCCCCTTCGTGGCCACCGCTTGCCAAACCGTCTGCCCCGACAGCCCGCCCGAGGTGGGCAAGCGCAGGCTGTCCGTGCCGGAGATCCTCGGGCAGCACGACCCCGACTCGGAACTGTCCTCGCGCCCCAGCACCGGCGCGTCCTCCTGCAACGGCCAGGCCGTGACGGAGGTGCCGCTGCCGCCGCCGCGCCGGCTGGGCCACCGCTTCCTGCGCTTCCTGCCGCTGTGGCTGCGGCGCGGGAACAGCATCTTCCCCCTCGGGGAGCCCGTCCCCAGGATCAAAGTGAGCAAGGCCTCCGGCCCGGCCCCCGACCCCAGGGAGCAGAAGCCGCCGCGCGTGAAGGACAAGCACCTCCTGAAGCCACCCCAGTGGAGGTACAAGGCGCTGAAGGAGGAGAAGAGAGCGGCCGAGGAGGCCAAGGCCAACGGGGAGGAGAAGGAGAAGAAGAAGAAGAAGAAAAAGAAAAAGAAACGCTAAGGCAGGAGGTGGGGACGAGGTCCCCGCTGTCCCCTTGGGCCTGCTGGCTCTTCTGGCACAGGGATGGTTTCCTTCCTGGCGGGACGGGAATGCCCAGGGGAGGAGGGTGATGTGGGCATACACACCCAGCTGAGATGTCCCCACTGGTCCCTCGTCCTCTCTACCTTGAGGGCGACCACCCCAGCCCAGCGCTGGTCATGCTGGGCACCAGCGTGCTGAGACCCTGGCCTGGGCTCTGGGGGTGCCAGGGAGCAGGACTGTGGCACAAGTTGCTCCCTTTTCTTCCTTTTTGTTTTTTTGTTTTGTTTTTTTTTTCCTTTTTTCTTTTTTGGCTCTTTGATCTTCCCGGAGCTCTTGATTCCGCAGCGTGCGTTGGAATGTGGCTGAGCAAATTAAAATGGAAGTGGTTGCCATGTTAACAGGATTGAGTCCATGAATAAAGCTCAGGGTTGCTTGTGGGGCTGGCAGGAAAAGCTCCCCCTCTCCGCCAAAGTCCCCCGGCCACCCTGTCACCCCCTTGGTGACACTGCCCACTCCTGTGTGTTCCTGGGTCGTGGGTGGACACACCAAGGCTCACCAAGGGAAGCAGCTCTGTACCGTGGAGGGTGAAGGAGCTCTGGGTGCCAGGTACAGGCTGGAAACCAAACTTGGGGTGCTCATGGGGTCCCCCTCCCTTAGGGGGACGAGACCCCCCAGTGTGAGGCCTCAGCCTTGCCTTTCGGGGGGCACAGGGAGGTTTGGGCTGAGCCGCGGGCAGGGAAGGATTGAGGTGGGGAAGGAAGGAGCTGCAGCCTCCCTGTCTGTTCCCCCCCAGCCCTTGGCTCGGCCGGGCTCCCCGGCACGTGGCTGCCCTCCCTCGCCAGCTCCTGGCGACTGGCAGATGAGCCGGGGGCGGGCGGCACATGGAGCAGCCGCCGCACACGCCGCGCCAGCCTGGCTCCCGCCGCGCAGGGGGAAGGGTCAGACGGGCTCCCACCGGCCCCTCGTCCCCCCTGCCACCGAGGGAAGGGCCCAGCAAGACCCCGAGGGGCAGCTGGATGTGCCCATGGAGGGTCTGACCGTGGTGCAGGGATGCCCCTGCCCTTCCACGGGATGAAATCGCAGCGACGGTGATGGAAAGGAGGTTGCGCCACGGCTGGCGCGGGATGTCGGGTCACGGTGCTGTCGGGTGGTGCCCAGCCCTGCTGATTCACCCTGTCTGCCCCACTCAGCGCTGGCAGCGGGGCAGGAGCCTGCCACGGGTTTGGTTTGTCGGTCCTGTCTCTTCACAGTCAGTCCCACTGCGGGGAAATCCACTTTCCAACAGCGGCAGTGCCAGAGCAACAGCCTGGCCTGGGGCTCCCCACTCATCCCTGCCCTTCAAGTCACCCAGGATTAGGACTTAGGAAGTTTTAGAAGTTTTTAAGCAAGTGTTTATGATTTAAAAATGAAGATGTCCTGTTTGGAAGATGGAGTTGTGGGGATCAAACCGGCTGGCACCCGCCTTTGCCAGAGAGCTGCTGTGCTTGGCTGCCTGGGGTAACCCCTGCCCGCAGCCGTAAATTTGGGGTGCTGATGCCCACCCTGTGCCTGTTCCCATGGTGGGGGGGATGCAGGAGCCATCCAGGAATAACTCTGGGAGGAGCTGATCTCCAGCTGGATCACAGAGACCTGAAGATCAGAGCAAAGATGGTCACGGAGATAAGATGTCTGCAGGCACCGGCTTCCTCCGGGGCGGCTCCTATCTGATGGAAACTGCCCGTTTCCCCCGCGCCGGCTCCGCAAAGCTCCGGGCCCAGCACACGGGCAAGGTCACCCGTGAAGGTCCTTCGTGTTTTATCCTGGTTTTGTGCTTTTGTTTGTTTAAACTTCCTAGATCAGGGGCCGATAGCGGGGCGAGGCGGCCAGGCGAGACTCAAAGCTCCGCCGCCGCGGTGCCCCGGCACAAGGAGGCTCCGGGTGGGTTCGTGATGCAACTGGGGCTGGTGATGCAATGGGAACGGGGTGGTAAATCAGGCCCTGGCACCCGGTTAGGAAAGAGGCTGCAATGCTGGATGGAGTCACGGTGCCAGGGGAGTAGCTGGGAGAAAGGCAGGGATGGGGCTTGGGAAGGCACTGGAGGGGCAGGAGAGGATTGGGAGAAGTGTGAAGCAGCTGAGATTGGGGTGGCCCAAAGAACAGCCCCGAAAGCAGCAAAAGGGGAAGCGGCGCTTCCGCCGCCCGCGGTCCCGTGTGCCCTGGGGGAGCGGGAAGTGCCCAACCTCTCGCCGTGGGAACGGCCCTGCCGGCGGCATCCCAGCGCCGGCCACCACGGCATCGTGTGGGAAGAGCCAGGGCCCTGCCAGCATGAGCCCCTTGGCCCAGCCAGCCTGGCTCTGTGCCCACAGGCAGGCTCAGCATCCCCAGTGGAGCAGACCCTGATGCCACATTGTACCCTGGGGGCAAAATCCTCCAGTGCCCTCTCCCAAAGTCTTGTGTCCAACATGGAATAACCAGGGAGCCCCTTGAGGGCCTGTGATGCTCCATCCCCACGAGGGCTGGAGGCTGGAGCGGGAGGGATGGCCAAGCATGCCAAGGTCATTCCCACGGCATCCCTCTAGAACATTCCCATTGCCACCAAAGCTGCTCTCCTACCAGCGGCCTGGGGATGCCCAGGGTAGGAGCTCTGACGGCCACATCCCCACAATGGGCTTGGGTTGGCTTTGAAAGCTGGGAAACCATGTGGGAAAGAGCCCGGTGAAGGACAAGGCGGGACGAACGGGCGAGGGAGAGCAACCAGGATGGAGCTGGGGCCCGGTGAGCGGGAGGAAGGGAGGCCGGTCGTGGCTGTGTGCTCAGCAATAGGAAATGCTTTATTAGCTGGGAGTGGTGGAGAGAAGCCAGGCAGGAAGAGGCAGTAATAAGAAACATTTTTTTGACTTCTCCCACATCCAGACCACAGAGCTCCTGCCAAGCGGCTGCGTCGGACGCCGGGGCTGCCGAGCCCCCGGGGCCGGGCCGGGAACGGCGACGTCCCCCCACCGGGACGGGCACGGCCGCAGCCGCGGGAGCTGCCGCGGTGCCGGGACGGGCGGCGGGAGGGGAGCAGACCCATGAAGCTCCTCCAAGCCGGGGTGCAGGGCACGGAGCAGAGCTGCCCCGGCTCCGAGAGTGTGATCCCAGCCGGGAGAGCCTCGCCAGGGCCGGGCAGTGCCGCGGGCGCCCGCGGGACGCCGATGCTGTAGGTGAGTGGGGAAGCACCGTGGGGTCCGGGGCTGCACGGAGCTCAGCATTTCCCTCCTGATTTACCCCCGGGGCAGCTGAAAGCAGGATTTGCCCCCTTTTCCTTCACGTTCGGTGGGACGCCGGTGTCGATGCCGGGGTTGAAGAAACTGGAATTGTGGCTGGGAGGGTGAATCTGGCTCCACAACAGTGTGCTGGTGACAGGATCCGTCCCCATGTTCTTGCTAAAGAGCTGAAGTAACACGCAGCTGCAACGGAAAGGCTGGAATCAACATGGGAAATGGGGAATTTGGGTGTACTTTGAAAAGCCACAGGGAAAAATGAGGGAGAGTTGACAGCAATTCTAGCCAGGGGCTGGAGCGAGGGCAGCGGGCACGGACGGCAGCGACGCTGCAGGATGTGCCACCTCCATGTTCCCCTTTGGCACAGCCAAACTCTGGGTCCCTCAGAGGAGGGGTGGGTGAGGAAGAGCCAAACGGTTGCTGAAGGGGCTCCATCTCCAGAGCCAAGCTGGGATGAGTCTCACCACAGAGCTCTGTCCTGCTGTGGGCACAGAGCCTTCCCTGAGGCCAGGCCAGGGTCACCACCCTCATCCCTGCTCTGCACGAGGAGCAGGGGGCATTGCCAGCCCCACACTGGGGTGAACCTGGGTGGGTTTTGCTGCTCTCTGTGTGTGTCTCGTGTTCATGGAACAGCGATGCCCGTCAGGGAGAGGGGCTGGGGTGGCTCAGCCCCTCCAGTGCAGCTCCCTAAGCTGAGCATCCCTCCTGTGCCGGAGGGTGAGCCCGGCTTTGCTGCATCCGTGACCCACCTGCAGCCCCGGGCAGGGAGAGGAAAACCTCCCCCTGAGCTTGAAACCAGGCTGGAGCCTTGGGAGCTGCGGCAAAGCTCCTGCCAACTCCAGCAGTGTCCTGCATGCCAGCAGCTGGCACATGCCTGGCTCACCCTGCTCCCCCTTGGATGGCATGGCACTGGCACTGGCACCAGCACTGGCACGAGGGGCTCGGCTGTGTCTGGCTCCCTGTGAAAAGGCAGCACAGGGAACTGAGTCAGGAGCCACATCCTGTGTCAAACCCCCTTGGGAGCAGCAGAAACTGCAAGGGAAGGTGGAAGCACCGGGACTGTGAAGCTCAGCCAAGCCCCCCCAGTAAGACCCTAACCCTGAACCATCCTACACATCCCAAGGGTTGTGCCCAGCCACCCTTCCCTGGACTCCTGTTGCCTTCTTCTCCACCCCCATGGGGAAATTCCCCTTCCCAGGGCTAGGTCTTGCTCTGGACCCCCAAGCTGTGGTGCTCATCATTCCCAGCCACTCCTGTTGGCATCCATGTCCCATCCAAGAGGTTTTCACTGGGTTTTTTTCCATCTCCTGATGCTGCTACAAATCCTGAAAGATATGACACAGATGGGGAAAGATGCTCTGGATGCCAGAAGGGTGCTTGAGCTGCAGTTCCTGATGACAAATGAGGAAGGTTGGGGACAGGGATGGGGGTGCAGGCTCTGATTTGACCCATTACGGAAGCACTCAGGATGTTTTTCCAGTGGGATGCCAGGGATGACTCTGGATTAAGGTTTGTTCTTGGTAACAACAACAAGCCATGTGATATTTCATATACAACGAAGTTTTGGGCCCTGCCCACTTTGTGTTTCACAACAAATACCCCACAGCCATCTAAGGCTTGGGATTTAATGGAAGGGGCTCCATGGAGGGAATTCACCACCTGGGAGACTCGGCTTTCCTTTAAAAAGATGCATTTTGGAGCTCTCAGAATTGCAGGGAGAAGCAGAGTGCCTGGGGGCACCCTGGGCACTCAGGGAGCAGCAGCCCAGCTCCAAGGGGGGTTTGAGGTTTTAAAACAAAGCTGATCCCAGCCCAGGTCCAGGGGAGTCGGGATTTTAAAACAAAGCTGATCCTGGCCCAGCCGAGGATCTGGATGAAGATCAGCCCGGCACGGGGCACCCGGGACCAGACCCCGCTCCTGCCCTCCAGCCCCCGGACCTGGCACCCGGTCGCTGTTTCCTCCCCGCGAGCAACAACCAAGCGAGTTATTTCGGGGAGGAAAAGCCCGTTTTACGGCGCTGCCGGAGCCTGCCGGGGTCAGCCGCGTCTGAGCGCGCTCCCGAGGGCTGGGCTTGCGTGACTCCGCTTCCCCATCAAGGCCAGAATCTAAACAATCTTGATTCCTGTCCCGGCAGCCCTGGGCTGGGCTCTTCAATTGCAGGAAACGGAGCCTTTGGCGTGTTTATGTCGGGAACCACGAAGAATGAGCCGAGGAGGGGCCGGGAGCCCGCGGCCACGGAGCGGGGTGGGGGGCACTGGGGGGGCTCCGCCGTGTTTGCCTTGGCAGAAATGTCCCTTTTACAAGTCAAAAAAAAAAAAAAAGGGAAGAGAAAAAATAGCCGAACTTCCCCCGAGGCACAGCAGGGAATTTTTGGCTGCCCCTGTTTGTGTCATTGATAAGCTCGGTGCAAAAGCCCCGCCGGGATCGAGCCCCGGACCGCGGCCAGCGGCACTCGGGGGCTCCGGTGCACGTGGTGTGAGGCCTTTGAGCTCCATCCCAAGGCCTGGATCTTGCTGAACCTGGAATCTCCAGCGGTGCCGAGCCCGCGGGGGCCGCGGTTTTACAGAGCGGGAGCCGCGGGAATGATGGGAAATGCTGGAATACGGATCGTTTGGCACGAAGGAAGGATGTTGGGGCAGCGTGGACAGGGCAGGGTCCCGGTCCCAGTGCCATGTGTGGTGTCCAGTGCCATGGTCGGGAGGTCCCCCAGGCTCGGGAGGTCCCGGGATGTGCTCTCAGGAAGGGCTGTACCCAGGACGTCCGGAGCCAAACTCCGTTGGAAGCAGCACATCCTACCTCGCTCCGCCCGCCCTCTCCCTCTCCAAGTCCCCCCTCTTCCTTCCCAAAGCCCCCCGGGGCTGGTGATGAGCCCCTCGGGAGTGCGGGGGCCGCTCTCACCGCTCGGCTCTCCGCAGGACGATGCCGTGTGGAGCCGGTGGCCGCGCGGTGCTGGCGCTGATGACTCTGTCCCTCGGCCTCGCAGCCGGTGAGTACCAACGGGAGGTTAAAACAAACCCTCGGCTTTTTGGGAGCGTCTCCGCCCAAAATAACCTCCTGCAGAGGGAGCCGGGGCTCCTCGGGGGCGGCGCCGTCCCCAGCGAGGGGCTGTGCCCCTGAGGGACGGTGACCCACTCCCCAGGGAGGTTCTCGGCTTAATTAATTAATTGTGGTTGATCAAGTGCTTCGCCATCACCGGAGGGGAGATGGGGAAGGCCGGCACCACGTGCTTTAAAGAGTGCTCCTTCCCAGGGGTGATGATGATGATGATGATGATTATGGGGAGGAGCAGGAGGAGCTGCTCAGCATCCCAGGGGAGCACCAGGTGACCTGGGGACAGATCCAGCTGGCCGTGTTTGTGCAGGGGGGACAGGGACAGTGTGGCTGTGCTGGGGAGGAGCAGCAGAGCTCACCGAGGGGACGAGTCCCCACCAAGTCCCCATCCTGCCCAGGGGGCCACCAACCCCAACCCGGCCTTGCCACCACCCCACAGCACTGGCACCGGGCAGCCTTTGGGGCAGAGGGACGACAGGCACAGGAGGGGGACTGGTCACTGCCAGACATCCCCTCGCTGTCCCCTCGCCGCTGGCCGCCTGGCTGCCCTCACGCTGAACTCGCTGATTCCAGGAGGGATATTTTCTGCGCGAAAGGGCAGAGCTAAATCGGGAGTTCGGGACTGTGGCGCCCTCTGAGCTGCTCCAGCGCCACAGCACAGGGAAATGCCTTCGGGGAAGGCAGGAAAAGCTCCAGGAAAGACGCCGGGTTTGGCACCCAGCTCCTGAAACACCCTCTGGGAAGGCACTGGCTGAGTTTGGGGCTTTTGATCCCATCGTGGCTCCCGGCATCCGGCTCCCACGGCTCTCACGTCCTCTGGGACCCGACGGGCAGGATGTGCCTGTGTGCTGTGAACCAGTGCATCCCAGTTAATCCCAGCTGCTGAGGCTGGATGCACAGCCCATCCAGTGCCTGTCAGAGGTGTGGGGACAGGCGACCCCCAGGTTCAGGGCTGGCACTTGGATCGCAGCTGGGAGCAAGTGATTTTCCAGGAGTTGGCAGGATGGGCTCCCTGGACTGAGCACCCACGGACATCTTCCCCTTCTGGACCGTGACGGTCCCAGGCCACCCACTCTCAAAATTTGGTTCAGGAGTCTCTAGGACAATGTCCCTGTCACCAAAGCCACCAGCCCCCCCATCCAGGGTGGTCCCGTGGCACAATGTGCCCCCTCGTGCCCGCAGACGAGCTGCTGTGCGCCTGCGACGTGCCCTTCTGCAGCCAGCCCACCTGCACGGGCAAGGTGTGCTTCGTCAGCAAGAGGAGGGAGGAGGGGACCATCACCCAGCACCGGGGCTGCTTCTCCCAGAACATCCTGGAGCACTGCAACACGCCCGTGACGGAGCAGTACGGCATGAGGTGCTGCGAGTCCCGCATGTGCAACGCCGAGCTGGAGATCTTCCTGCAAGGTACGGGGCCACGGGGGCGAGGGACAGAGCTGCCCACGCAGGTGGACGTGTGGTGGGGTCTGCAGATCGTCCCTGTCCTCGCTCAGCCCCTCCAGAACAACCTCTTCCCAGGTGGGCAGGGCCAGTGAGATGCCCTCAGGTGTCCCTTATTGGGCTGTGCCTGCAGAGCTGCCATCCATGGGGTTGAACCCAGTGCAGAGCCACCCTCTCCAGCTCCAAGCCCAAACCCCAAGGCCTCCACCCTCCCACGTCGAAGCCTGAGCCCCAAGACCTCCATTATCATGCTCCCATCTGTCATTTCCCTCACCCAGGAGAAGATGCCCTGGGAAAAGTGCCTTCCCTGCCCAACCTCCTCCTGATGATCTTCATCCCGCTGCTCGCCCTCCTCGTCCTCGTGGTGCTCACGGGGCTCTTCTGCTGGAAGGTGGCCCAGCACCGCCAGAAGCAGAGTGACCTCAGCGACACTGACCTCATGCTGAAGGCGTCCATGGTGGGAGACAGCACCTTAGAGGTGGGTGAGCTCCGGGAGGGACCCCAAATGCCCCCGAGGTGTGGGAGGGTGGGGTGGCCTCTGTGCTGACCCCACGGTCACCCCGGCTGTGCAGGACCTGCTGAGCGACGACTGCACCACGGGCAGCGGTTCGGGGCTGCCCTTCCTCGTGCAGAGAACGGTGGCTCGGCAGATCACCCTCGTGGAGTGCGTGGGTAAGGAGCAGGGGGGGCTGCCCTGGTGCCCCAGCCGGTACTTGGGCGATGCCACCACAACTCCACACCCAAGAGGGGGGTTGGACCCAACCAAAACCCCGTAAAGACCCCGAGTTCTCCCACTGTCCCGCTGATGAGGGAGGGACAGAGAGGCTGGGTGGGTGGATGGACGGGATCCCGGTGCACCGTGCTGGGGGTGGGCAGGGCGTGGGGGGTCCGAGGGGCTGCGTGGCACAGCGCCGTGGCCGTGGCAGGTAAAGGGCGCTACGGCGAGGTGTGGCGAGGCGTGTGGCACGGGGAGAGCGTGGCCGTGAAGATCTTCTCCTCCCGGGACGAGCAGTCGTGGTTCCGCGAGACAGAGATCTACAACACCGTCCTGCTCCGGCACGACAACATCCTGGGTGAGCGGGGGGCCGGCAGGGGGGGGGGGTGGGGGGCAGCTGAGTGGGGGCTCCACGGTGCCAGCTCTTCTCCCTGCCCAGGTTTCATCGCCTCTGACATGACGTCGAGGAACTCCAGCACCCAGCTGTGGCTCATCACCCACTACCACGAGAACGGCTCCCTCTACGACTTCCTGCAGAGAACGGCCCTGGACGTGGAGACCTGCCTGGGCCTGGCCTCCTCCATCATCTGCGGCCTCGTCCACCTCCACGTGGAGATCTTCGGCACCCAGGGCAAGCCCGCCATCGCCCACCGGGACCTGAAGAGCAGGAACATCCTGGTGAAGAGCAACCGGCAGTGCTGCATCGCTGACCTGGGTGAGATGGAGGGGCAGGGTGTGGCACCCCAGGGATTTGGGACCCCAGGGATGTGGTACCCCAGGGATGTGGCACCCCAGGGATGTGGTACCCTGGGATGTGGTACCCTAAGGATGTGGTACCCTGGGATGTGTGACCCAGGGATGTGGTGCTCCAGGGATGTGGTACCCCAGGGGTGTGGTACCCCAGGGATATGGTACCCCAGGGATGTGGTACCTCAGGCATGTGGTACCCTGGAATGTGTGACCCAGGAATTGTGGTACCCCAGGG